CACGCGTGGGTTCGGCCACTTGGATGGCTCAAGAGTTACATCAAAATGCTCCCTGTTCTCTTCCTGGACTTCTTTGAGTCTCTTCCCAATCTCCCGGATGATCTCCGACCGTTTTTTGTCCTGATCTGTGTAATCTTTGAAGATGTCGAGAAACACCACAAGATCAGCATCTGAGCCCCCTCTTAGAGCCGTGCCTTTCCCTGATGAGCCTCCCTGCGAAGAAGAGTTAAATTTTGTCACATGTAGTAAATTTAATTCCAACAAACTGCACATCGTGGCCAATAAAGAGCCTAAGCAGTGTAATATCTATATAACTAATAGCCAAGGTCTATTTTCCATGTGGATGCTTATTTTCGCCAACAGAGGGCTCACTCTCCAACAACAGCTTTTCCTACAGAAAAATCCAAAAAGTTAAGGGGGGAAAACCCTCAAGGAGGGTTGAATTTCCCCCAATACCTTTTAAAATGGCCTCTGCAGGGATCCACTTCAGGCATCAATGGTGAGAAATTAGAAAAAGATTAGAATGTTCAGGGGCAGGAGGAGGCTTCTAACTGGCTCTTGTCAGTAAAAGGGGGGGGGCTTTCCAGGCCTATTTTGGCCTTTGAGGGAGGGAGCCTTGGGGCCAAGCCTGACAAGGGTCTCCAGTGCCAGGCTGGGGAATTCCTAGAGGTTTTGTGGTGGACTCTAAGGAGGGTTGGGTTTGGGGAAGGGAAGGGAAAGGCCTCAACTGGGTATAATGCCACAAAGTCCACCCTCCAAAGCAGCCATTTTCTCCAGGGAGACAGATCTCTGCTGTCTATAGTTCAGTTGTAATTCTGGGTGGTCTTCAGGTCCCACTTGGAGGTTGGCAACCCTAGGCCCGGCCACAGTCTAGGGTTGCCAGGTCGCCCCTGGCCACCATCAGGGATGGGGGGGGGGTTGAGATTGCAAGATCCAGGCTGGGAAACTCCTGGAGGTTTGGGGGTGGACCCTGGAGAGGTCAGAGACCTCAGTGAGGTACAATGCCACAGAATCCATCCTCCAAAGCATCCATTTTCTCCAGGGGAACTGATCTCTGCAGTTTGGAGATGAGCAGTAATTCCAGGGGATCCCCAGGTCCCACCTGGAGGCTGGCATCCCTAGGCAGCACCCTCTGGGTGACTTGATACCACTTGATTTGCCTGACTCAGCTAGGCCTGGCTGATTGGTACATCCCCTTCGAGGGGACACATTCTCTCTGCTGGTCCAAAGTGCGGTTCCAGTACCAGTTGCTCCAAAGTGCGGTGCTACCAGGACACACAGACAGGCAGACACTGGGGCCAGACTGCCCCCCAAAACAATATTTGGACCACCCCAAATGACACATTCCCACTGGTACTGGAACCGCACTTTGGACCAGCACACAGAATGTGTCCCCTTGAAGGGGAGGGTCCACTGAAGATGGGGGTGTATGAAGTGTGGGGGTCCAATCCTTATTTTGGGTGCAGGGGGCACTTCCTTATTCAAATCTCTTTTGAAATACAGGCCTCGGGGAAGCCCTGTGAACAGAAGCTCGCAGCATCAGAACCGGTGTTTGGACCGGGCATCACTGTATGTCACCTTGCAGGGCACAGTCTCCAGAGCATGGGGATGGGTCCCTTGGGGTAGTCCAAAGATTATTTTGGGGTGCAGCCTGGCCCCAGTGTCTGCTTGTTTGATTGTCCTAGGGGCACTGCACTTTGGAGCAGCTGGCACCAGAACTGTGCTTTGGACCAGGATACAGCATATGTCCCCTCGAAGGGGAGAGTCCTGTGAATGTGGGGGTATATGATATGTGGTGGTCCAGACCTTATTTTGGGATTCAAGGGTTCAGAGCTTTCCAACTCACTCTCCCTAGTGTTTCTGAATGACTACACAAATAAGTAACAAATAAGGAATGAATAAGGAAGTGCGAATAAGGAACCAACTTCAGCCTCCTCCCCAGTAGCAGGAGGAGGAAATGGCTGCTGCAGGGACAGGGTATGAAAAAATGGTTGCTGTGCAGGCTGGAAGATCTGAATTCTCCATCCACACTTTACTGTGATCTTTGGAGGAATGCAGGTCTGAGAAAGATCAAGGGAAAGTTGGGGGACCCCTGGAAGTACACAAATGCACTAGGAAGCTGTGGAGAATCAGGAGGTGAAAACTCTCTTCCCAAAGCCATTGAACTCTGGGCACATAACTCATATGGAAGCCACCCAAAAGAAACAGAACCCAGGAGAGACCTACACAGATTTCCCCTATTCCTTGAATCTGTCCCTGGCACATCACTGTCCTTAATTTTTGTTTTGCTGTTTTGTCTCTTTGGGATGCCATGTTAAAAAATTTGGTGGATTGTTTTCCATTGGAATATTTTTAAAAATGGGTCATATAGATAGAAGGGCTCCATTGGCACATTGGGTAGCTAACTGAAAATTCCTGGAGATTTGGGGGTGGAGCCTGAGGAGGTCACAGGTTGGAGGGAACTCAAGCAAGGATGTGATGCCTTAGAGACCACCCTCCAAAGCTACCATTTTCTCTATCTGAACTGATCTCTGTAGCCTGGAGATCAGTTGTAATTCCTGGAGAACTACAGGCATCATGTGGAGATTGGCAACACTGTTTACACATTAACAGGTAGAGCTTGTACTTCTTCTGCACACAAACAAAAACATCCCCTTGTAGCGCCGGATCTCCCACACTCACCTTGATCACCTTCAGCACCCGGGGCCGGGGCGGGGCTGCATCTTTGAAGCAGTTCTCCCGCAGGAACTCGCAGATGATGTTGATGGCCCGGCGCACCTGGCCCAGGAAGTCCTCATTGGGCTGGAGATTTCCAGAAATGAACTTATCTAGCTCCCTTGTTTCTGTCGCATACAGCTCCATGGCAGAGAAGCAGGCCGAAGAGGGGATTCCAACTGGCTTCTGGAACCCACTGAGGGAGGA